GATAATCAAACAGGATATGGTTTAGCAGACGCTAGACTTTTGATGTGGCCCGCACTATTTATAGAGCGAGTGCAAATGGAAAGATTATGTCGGGAAACTCGATTGAAGGTGCTGAAAGCACGTTCAGTTCAGATCCAAAAGGAAGATCCAGATAATGTTGATCGACTATGTGAAAGACTTCGACGTGAGATTTCTCAAATGTGTCGTACGTCAGCCCACGATATGGAACTATCCATACTTAAGTCGGATGCCAAGAAGAGCGGAACAACACCAAATGTTGGGGCTATCAAGGCTATCAAGGACGATCCTGCACTTCTCTCTGATCCTGAACTCTCTGATTGTTCGGACTCTGAGATTGCCAATTTGAGCGAGGATTAGGCGTTTATCTGTCTACTAAATTATATTAGGTTATCCATAATTATATGTTGTGTGTGTTAAAATAACTCTTTCGACAATGAGTTTGTGAAAGGTTTGTCTAATATTTGTCTATGTAACTGTTAAGTATTATACTCGTCGCTTTATTTTATGTTCTGTGTTATGTTGAATGTTTTCACAAATTATTTTTGTGGGATACTTATGTTTGAATTAGCTACGGCGTTCTAAAGTGTTATAAGTGTTACAATCATATCTTTATTTGGTTTTCCTGTTCGTAGTAGTAATTAGCAAATTAGATATTTTATATATGCTATGTGAAGTTTTATGTAAATATTTCGTGGCAACAAATATTTAGTTTCGAAAAATCTGCAAAAGTAGGCTTAGTTTGGGAAATAAATTCGTATAGGGGCTTAGTTTGGGAAAAGGCCCGACAAAATTTCTCCGAAACTGTGCAAAATGTTCTCTGGGAGGGTGCGCGTCTCGAGGCCATTATTTTCTTCTTCTTTTTTAATTTTTATTTTTAAATTTTTTATTTGTTGTTTTTATTTTTGTCCATCATTGATCTTTTTTAAATTATATTTGAATTATATAACAAAATAAAAATTTATTTAAATAACAATTTAAAAACTATCAGGTAAATCAAGCAAATATTTAATTTATATTTTTTACACAATTCACTACTTTTTAGACAATGCATACTGTTTATTTTTAAAAATTTAATGTATAAATTATTTATGTAAATATCAAATTAATCTAATAATCGTACATATAATTTTATCATCTTTTTAAAAAAATAATGGATGTGCAACACAATTTTCAAATTATATAATTGATTTTTAAATATTAAAATAATAAAATTTGGTAACTAAGATTACAAATTTAATACGATATTTTATATGAATTAATTATATATAGAGATCTACAAGATGATTGAGCGAATTATAGAATGTGGGTTGAATTATTATTATAGAATGTGGATTGAATAATAATAATAATAATAATCAACAGTGAGTGCTCACGCTTTCCTTAAAAATTGTATTTCTGTAGTAAATGCGTGGTTGTGAACAAGACGATATCTTATATGAATAATTGAAAAACTGTATTGAACCAGGTTTTCTGAAGAAAAAAAAAATTTATTTAAAACCACAGTAAAAGCGTGGTTCAAAACCACGTTTTCTGAAGAAAAAAAAAATTAGACAGTTAAAGCGTGGTTCACAACCACGTTTTTAGGGGGAAAAAAATTTACACACTTAAAGCGTGGTTCACAACCACGTTTTCAGAAGAAAAAAAAAATTTACACAGTTAACAACCACGTTTTCAAGAAAAATAAAATTCCAGTTGAAAGCGTGGTTCACAACCACGTTTTCAGGAAAAAAAAAAAAACATTCACTTAAAAACGTGGTTCACAACCACGTTTTCAGAAATTTTTTTTAATTAAAAGCGTGATTCCTAACCACGCTTTCTTAATTAAAAGCGTGGTTTGGAAACACGTTTTTATGTTTACAAACTTTCCACGCGATAGGCAGAAAAATATTGAAAGCGTGGTTCACAACCACGTTTTAGCCTAGTTTGGGAATTTCGTCCAGACTAGGCCTAGTTTGGGAAATAGGTTATTAATTTGGCTTAATTTGGGAAAATCCCCAAGATTCTATTGCACCACAAAACACTTAAAAACTAAACATGACAGGGAAAGGGGAAGGAGCTTGAACTTGACTATGAAAAAATAAAAACAAGATTCAGATCATTAGAAGAGAAGCCACAAAAAATTTGAAGTAATTTAAGAGGAAATTGAGAGAGAGAGAGAGAGAGGGAGAGACGGTGGAGCTCACTTTAGTGAAATCGAAATTGCCGGTGCAGATGGTGGTGGCGATGGAGCTTCGAATTCGAAATCGAAATCACTGAATCTCCGAATCACTGCATCTTTGAATCTCTGCAAATGAGGATCAAGTAAGAATGCCTTAAAACATTGATTTCATAGATCTAGAGAGAGAGAGAGAGAGAGAGGGTGGAGCTTGCTACCTCGCCGGTGCAGATGGTGGTGGCGATGAAGCTTCGAAATCACTCTGAATCTTCGAAATCGCCGGTGTAGAAGGAGCTTCGATGGAGAAATGTGTGCGTATAAGGGTTAAGAGAGGGAGAGAGAGATAGAGAAATCACAGAGATCTCAGTAAAATTACCAAACTACCCCTAACCTGACCTCCATAGCTGAGCTTCAAGCTAAGACTCAGTGTTATGTATACTTACAGGATTGAGAGTGTTGAGCTTCAACTTCAAGAACAGCCGATTGAGAGACAAAGCTTCTTCCTAGAGTTATCTCCTCTGTTTTCTTCGTCACTGAGAGAGAGATGTGTGCGTATGAGTTGGGATCCTCTCCTTGGACTCACTCCTTCCCTACTTGTAACACGGTAGAGATGGATTCTAAGTTGATCCAAGATTTAGATTTAAGCCGGAAAAATAAATTTAAATTTGTTTTATTTTTTATTAATTTTTAAATAATCAAATCTAAACCGTTGGATCAACTCAAGATATATGTCCACCGTTGTAAGTAAGGAAGAAAGGAGAAAGCTCAAGGAGAGGATCTCAACTCGTGTGCATGCAAGGGTTGAAAGAGAGAAATGGCTCAGATTCAAAATAAGGTTTTTAAAAAGTTCGTGTTCCTATCGTATTTGGAGGCATTTTTAAACTCCTTCATTTATAAAACGGTGCCGTTTTGATTAAAAAATATGCGGCGGTTATAAAATGCCGTTAAAAATTTAAAAAAAAAGTGACGTTTCAAAAAACGCCATTAAAAAAACACCGTTAAAATCCATTTTTCCTGTGGTGTAATTAGCATGTTGCCGATTGAGAGACAAAGCTTCTTCCTAGAGTTATCTCCTCTGTTTTCTTCGTCACTGAGAGAGAGATGTGTGCGTATGAGTTGGGATCCTCTCCTTGGACTCACTCCTTCCCTACTTGTAACACGGTAGAGATGGATTCTAAGTTGATCCAAGATTTAGATTTATGCAGGAAAAATAAATTTAAATTTGTTTTATTTTTTATTAATTTTTAAATAATCAAATCTAAACCGTTGGATCAACTCAAGATATATGTCCACCGTTGTAAGTAAGGAAGAAAGGAGAAAGCTCAAGGAGAGGATCTCAACTCGTGTGCATGCAAGGGTTGAAAGAGAGAAATGGCTCAGATTCAAAATAAGGTTTTTAAAAAGTTCGTGTTCCTATCGTATTTGGAGGCATTTTTAAACTCCTTCATTTATAAAACGGTGCCGTTTTGATTAAAAAATATGCGGCGGTTATAAAATGCCGTTAAAAATTAAAAAAAAAAGTGACGTTTCAAAAAACGCCATTAAAAAAACACCGTTAAAATCCATTTTTCCTGTAGTGTAATTAGCATGTTGATCATAGCTGATTATCTAAGAAAAATAAGCCTCTAAAATAAGATTACTATAAGCCTCTAAAAGGAGTATTCCTACTGTTTCCTTAATTGATGCAACAACCACTGCCTCACCCCCAACCCCACCCCCAAAATCAACCCAATTAATGCACAATTTGAACCTATACCCACAAAATCAACCACATCAGGTGTAGACCCCATTGTACCAATGTTTATCTACAATCATAATCTATGCAACCGCAACATCTTTTAGAAAAACAGTAAAAAAATACAAAACTAATACTGTGTTTCCTGGAGACCATTGTATAGATCACATTCAAAAAAAATTAAAAAAAATCAAAATCAATGTTAAAGCAACTAGAATAATTGGCATTGTTCCAAAAAAATGCTCATTAGATTTCGTCAGGTTGACATAAGCTTGAAAGATAAATCAATTACAAATCTTAATGGGAAGAGATTCTACTAGAGGGGAAAAAAAAAGCTACTCAGAGAAGGATCTGTACTACAATTATACATTCAAACCTTAAAAAAAAATTATGATGCTTAATTACATTAAAGAAAAAGATCAGATTTTTCATTGTTTGGGTCCTTTTCTGGGTGAATAATTTGAGGAAAAAGAGCATCATTTGGTGGCAATGGACTTGAAGGCGACAATGATGGCGAATTTGGACCAAAAGCTCAGCATGGCGTGGAAGCGGTGGTAATGCAATTATGTGTAATTAGGGTTTTTGCTTTGGTAAAGTGTGTTGTGTTGCTGATTTTACCATTTTGCCTAGTCAAATTTCGTGTTCTTTGAAAACTAGCCCAAGTTCTGTCAGCCAATTTGGACAGGGGCGGACACAGGGGCTACATTGTTGCACTAATTAACTTGAGGGACTAAAATTGTGCAATTGTAACTTGAGAGACACAAAATGATACAAAGTACAAATTTGAGGGACCAACAAAATAACTAATAAAAAAAACTTATTTAATACGGGCTAATCACACATTAATAATTTATTGAAGTGCAACGGGCAAATCACACACTGGAAATTTAACAACAATGTAGCCCATCTGTGAAATGACTAATTAAAAAAGGAAAAACTTTTTTAACAACGGGTAAATCACACACGAAATTTATTGAAGTGCAAAGGCAAAACCCAATGCAATGGTCTGCCTTGTAAATTAAAGATGGATGGCGAAGGAATTAAAGCACGCATTCAAGGGGATCGGCAGCGAGGTCTTGCTTCTCATCCTCATCCACAGAGGGCAGTGGCTTGACGGTTCTCCTCAATCATCACCTCCTCCCTCTCCGGCTCCACGGATGTCCTGCTGGTGCGGCTTACGGTAACAATTATCGCATTGGCATCAAACAATTTCCCACCAGAGCTGCACGCGCGTTATATGCATACACATATCCATTATTTTTGTCAGATCGATCATCGAGTCAAATTAAATAGTCGATCGAACAAATGAAACATAATTTATTCTACTAGCTAGTAAATGCAGGGATTTGATAATATTGGTACCACCTGACCTGTATGTGTAAGTGATGTTGAGGACATTCGAGCCTGCCGGACTACTAGCAGGAGGGAGAAGAAGGTCCACTATGACCTTGCGTACCTCTTTAATGTAAAGATCGCCAAATGAAACAGTCACAGAGCCTGCAGCATCGTCCTTGGATTGTGGATAGTTTCCGGCAGACACCTTAACGATTGTGGATTCGACTTGTGTGACGGTCAGCTTCAGATCCTGAACAACTACGGTGAGAAGCCCAGCCAAGCACTGGGAAAATGCAATACTCAAGTTGTCCTGGTTTCGAACATCTGAGAACGTTCCTCCCATGCTGTTGTTTGCGATGGCATTGAGCACCTATATCGAACGGGAATTACTAAAGTTATACTACTACAACTTTTGCAATTTTTTTTTAGATACTGGTTTTCCCACATCACAGTGTAATAAGGAAAGAAAAGAAAAAAATATAAATAAAAAAAATATTTATAAGTCTTTGCCACTAAACCATTACTTGTCAAATTAGCCAGTACACGCAATCCGAATATAGCAGATTCTGTGGAATGAATGTGTAGGGATCACCTAATTTACCAAAGGAAATTTCAATATATAACCAAATTTACTCCCTTGTTTCTGCCCAGTATGGATCACCCGAGACTCTAGCTAGCCTTGATTAGTGTACAACTAGCTGTTAATTCCTCCATAAAATAGATTCCTATACAGATAATGATTTTTTTTTTTTTTTGTTTCTTTTTTTCAATACAACATACCATCGGATCGTAGTCTGCGCCAAAACCGTATGTGTATACGGGCACGTTGCCGACCGAAACTTGGGCAGCATCACCACCTTTGTTTTGCTGACCGCCGGACATAAGCATAATGCCAACTTCACGCCCGCTAGTAAGTATGCGGTCATTGAGCACTTTTAAGCCCGTTTGAAGACCAGCAGAGATGTTCATGCCGCCGTTAGCAACTAAAGAATTGACCAGATTTTCAATCTCCCCTTGAGAATTTTCAGTTATCTGCCGCAATGGGCACAACCTCTGGGAGCCCTCGTTGAATGTGACAATCGACAAACGATCAATCGGGCCAAGTTTCTTGATCATGAATAGCATGGCAATTTTCATTTTTTCTAACTTCTCTCCCCGCATGCTACCGCTGACATCTAGGACCGTCACAAGATCCACTCCGGATCTGTCGTTGCCGGATCCTGCCCCCGTGAGCTCCAGCATCACCTTGAATTTGCTTTCTTCCAGTGGTGCCGTCGTCTTGTTGATGATTGTCGCCTTTGTTTTTCCTGCCAGGAATGCTGCAAGTTTTCCCCCTGAAATATGCCATCATCCCAAAAAAACACTCCAGCATGATTTACATGGTGCAGAAGAAAAAAAAAGACTCCAGCCATGATTTACAGCCAAAGGGTCAGAGACGCCAAATGGTCAAAATGTCCAAGAGGATACAGACATTCCAACGGGGCCGGCTCCAACCCCGATTCCGCCTCAACAATCCAAAGCAACGACCTTACGTAGACCGCATGTTTGTTCAAATTCATCACTTGCGTAGACCGCATG